TATGCACCCCAGCCTGTCACATCTAGGCAAGTTACTAAGTAGATTATTGTAAAGTTCATTATTTTATTTCGTTTGTTACTGGTTATTTTGCCAATAGTATTTTTGAATTTGAAGTTATTATACATATTTATGCTATTGGAATTAAAAACTATACGTTTGAGATTATGTTTAGTTTTAATAAATATATTGTTGAATGAACGGTTAAATGTAGTATAAGAAGAATTAACGCTAATATTAGATAATGTTTAAATGGTTTGTTTGAGAGTGGTATTAGAAAGAAGGTATAATTAAAAATGTGACGAATAAATATACCCGTAATTTTAATGTAGTTAGTTATAAGTAAAGTAATAATTCTAATAATACAGCCGTTGTGTATTTTATTAGTTTGAATTTGTTAAATTGTTTTATTAGAAAATTGTTGGGTTTGTATAGTTTATAATAAGAAAGAAATAAGTTTAAACGTATAAGTTTGGATTATTGGCTATGCTTCTTTGAGAGTGTTTTTTATTTAAGAGGTACTATACAATTTTAAAGTAGTTGTACGATTTTGAGGCTGCCTTTACTTTTCATTACGCTTAATTTTTGCTAGTTCGAATTCGTTAAAAACTGGTTATTTGAGAAGAATTTGCATTTTTTTGCGTATAGTAATTGTATAGTAATTGAATTTATTAGGAATGTTATGTTTTATACATAGATTGGTGGATTGATACATGGCTTCTTAGACTTTGCTATCTATTATAATTTTGGTAAAGGATGGTGCTCGGCAAGAATCTTTTAGCTATTCGAGAATGAATATTTTTAAATTCTATATTCTAGAAAGATTAACTCTTAAATTAATATATATGAATTTAAGGTGATTTTGTTTTTTCAATGTGGTTGCGATAATATTATAATTATTATCAGTAGTAAAAGTTGGGTTATTAAAATCGAATTTATTAGAGTTAAACGTATTTATATTCGTATTAATTACTTACTCAATTAGACGAGGAGTAGTTAATTGCTTATTTCTTTTAGTAGATTTTCTACGAGGACGGGGAGTGGTCGAGCGAGGTTTGCCTTTTGTTTTGCGAGTTGCTGTTGTTGGACGAGGGATAGCCGAGCGAGGCTTATCTCTTGTTTTAGCGCCGCTTTTATAAGGAGTTGGAGATGGGAAGTTAAGTTGAGGAGTGTTTTGGAGGTTGGGAAAGGAAGATTTAAGACCGGAGTATCCAATTGTTCATTACAAGAAGAAGTTAAGAAATTGTTGTTGAAGGTGGGATTTCAACTGCGGTAATAGCTTGATGCGTTTCTTGGAGAATTGCCGTCTATGATAGGTATTAAATAAAAGGTTTAATGCATGCGATAACAATGTATTTAAAGTTTTAGTGATGCGATAGGTTTTGATGAAGTTATGGTAGTGTTGTTAATATTAGACATTAAAAATCAAGCAACTATTTTCGAGATTCTTAGGACACTGTATTATAAATTTAAACCTTTTAGGACGTATGTCAAAAATATTACCCAAAAATACAATCATGACATTTTATCAATAAATTGAATTGTTAGATGTAATCTGGTTCGTGCGTTGCGCCCCGAAAGGGAGGTCTGAGCGCTGAGCTAATATTGTTACACATCCCGAACTTCAATCGTCCCAAACCTACCTCTGCTAAACCAACTCCATGTTCTTAAGTTGTACGCGCTATAGTGCAATTGCCGGTGTGTCCCCGCGGCGTGCTCTTCCGGAAGACTGAAGGTCCAGACCTCCAACCTAGCGCTCTCGTGTCGATATCTTGATACAACAGAACCTGGGCGTCAACTGTCGTCTGTCTTGGCTCAGGCTCTCCTACACTAATGAGGTACATGATGTTCCGGACCAGTGACTGACCATCTCTTGGAAGGGGTCAGTTACAGATCTTGAGAACATGGCCAAGCTACCTTCCTTTACACTGAGCGAGCGACTGTCGGAGTGATACGAGATACATAGCCGCTGAAGCGGAATCGAACCAAAGCTCCTTCCTGTCTTCCGGCAAAAGCCAATGCCGCCGCGAATAATACCAGCCCAGGGCAATGACGAACCCGCACGGGCATCCAATTTAATGTTCATTGCAGCTACCTACTTCTGGCCCGCTGCACATTTCATGGACCTTTTTTCACGAACGCCAAAGTCTCAAACACCATACGCGGCTGCAGGCGCAAGATCGGCTGCGACCCTTTTTAGCGTCTAACAAGTTGAATCCCTTTGCTTCTCGGCGCTGACTTTTGTTGCAACACTCCAGTCCAGCTCTGAGCTCTCCCCACCATACCACACCACACCGCACCACACCACCCACCGTCACGGTTTGATACTGGACCTGAAGGTACCGGCAGCTTTTCATCTTTTACTCGGTATGTAAGGCGTTTAGAGAGGGCCCAAGGCCGGATCTGGATCGACCATTACGACGACTGTTTCCCAGTGGGGAACGTTTCTGCCAACCGAACCGCATCGGAACTGTTACGGACCACATCGACGCCAACCATGTACCTATTCCCACGTCATGTTCAAAGCTGGTATGCGCCCGAGTCACGACATGAACACCCTCAACTTCCATATTAGCTCCAGCCGAAGCGCCTCCTATTAGCCGTTAGCCATGTGGTACCGCGCATCCCCAAAACGTCTGCCCTCCTTTCGCGGTTAACCAGCTCACAGCTCACAGCTGCGTCGGGCCCTGCTTAGCCTCAACGGCGATGATACAGACCCTTCTGTCAATTATGAGCTACCTGTTTTATATCAGCAGAATTCTGATATTGCCCGGCAGCGTCAACCCCATACGCGGCTTAAGAATGCCACATGGCTTTGTATCTACGTGCGTCAAACTCCACCATTGTTGAAGGCATCCGATGAAGCAGAATCAGACCGTGAACGACGCTCTACAAGCGGCATTGTTCATGGTAGGTTGACAACCCGGACAAGCCACTGCTTTAGAAAGCTCAAGGTCTAGAGGTACCCATCTCTGGTCCTGTGGCCCGCGAGAGTGCGTTAAGTTGGCCCTTTGCGAGGTGGAGGGGCTCGAGGGGATACTGCATCCGGTATCTTTGCGGTTCCAGGATGGCCATCTTGGCTCCAGCTGGTATGGTAGACGATACAGACACCACCCTCCTCGACCCCCCTGGAGTTTTCGGAGCAATCTATTCGCTGTGCCTTTACGGACCACACACCCTGCATCCACCAAGCTTGGACTCCAGTCTCATGGGCCGTCCTGGCCGTAGGGGTGTGGTTTTCTGGGACGCGAGTTTGGGCAGCTTTTGGGGAGCTCTCGGTCCTCAGGATGTTCCCCTAGCTCCCAGTTTTCACACGACCCATAAACCACTACACTATATAAAAGCACCGTAACGGGGGGAGAGGGCGTCTTACCAGCACGGTATAACCCAAAACAGACGAGGGAGTCACATTTGTCCTTGCAAAAATTCCATCACCACAACATGGCGACAGTGACAGCCTCACGCTCGCCTCCATCCTCACACGCGCCAAACCCCGGTGGTGCGGATGAGCCAAGTGGCATTCCAGCCAGCAGTCGGCGGTCTAGGATATCAAAGAAAGGGCGTTGTCTCTATCACTGTCTGCCTTACTCGTCCCTGTTTGCTCTCCCAGCTTCACAGGACCGGTTGCAATCCCTCCAGATACTATACTGGCCCGAAGGCCTGACTACATGTATCTTGGATGACCCACGGTTCCCTCCTTGAGCAAGATGACTTCTTTGCCCTGATCCTCTTTTCATCATCTTTTGTGTTCATATATCCACTTGTTGCACTAGCCTTTTCGTTAGACACCTCTCTACCTTCTTATCGTTCGTTGTTCCCTTGCCAGTTCCCGCGTGGCCGGGCTACAACATCCGTCTTTCACCAGCTAGGCACTGGCTCCATCTCCACGATTATACCCTTGCGGCAATCTTTTCTGACACACGCTGCCTCGAAAAGAAATAACACAGGGTTCATCGTGCTCTCCACATTCTTGTTTTGTGCGCGGCTGCTTTCCCAAACCGTAATTTGTCGCTTCAAGTTGCTTCCAGACCCTCGGCTGTCCCTGCTGGTAGCTCCGCTCATCTCAACCCAACTCGAGGATTTCCCCAACACCCGAGCGCCCATCTCATCCGGCATCTGCTCCCGCTACAGGCGCCCCTGTCTGTGTCCATAGCTTCGAGAGTTGGAATACCGTTGCCGAACAGGCGCTGTTATCCACTGAGGGCTAAAGAGCAAAACAAAATCGGATCCGGTCTCCATACGGGGCAGTGAAAGAGAGAGGAACTAGGGGACCCCCGCCACTCTCAGGTCACTATTACGAGTCCTATTAGCTTCTCCGCCTCGAATGTTGTCTACACTTTGTCTTTTACCTGCACGGCTTGCAGTCGATCCTACCCATTTTCTTCTACCTCAGCACGGTTATATTTTCTAGGCGCGATCCAATGGCCAGATGAGGGTTGGCTGCCACTTCAACGTCTCATCACTACACACCCCTCGCCGGAAGAGTCCTTCGTCACTACCACTACTAGAACGCCGGGCTGGCCACCCCATCCAGCTTCCTATTCCACTCCAAAGGTTATTTCCACTTCTTTCTGTCCCTCCCCTGTTTTCCTCACCCTGCTTTCTCATCTCGTCATCTTCCTGTTTGTATGAGCTAGCCTGCCCCTTTACAAGCTCGGATCTTGTTGCACTGGAGCCTCCACTCCACGCAATATCAACCTCGATCCTCCTCCACTGCCCTTACTTTTTTTTTCCATCCGCCGTCCTCACCCTCACCCTCACTCTCCTTCAACTTATATGAGGATGCTTACCATCAATAAGTCAGCTCAGTACGGCTACAGGTCGGTCCATGACTTACCAACACCACCGAGCACGTCACGGCCTTCTCCCCCCTTGATATCCCAAGACTTTGGTCACAAAACCTTTCCGGCCATTACCCATAGCGGCAACCAATCCAGTCATTCCATGTCTGCGCCTCACCGTGGCTTGCCCATGCCGGCGGCCATGAACCCAGTTCCGCCGCCTCCTGGCCCGGGACTCGTCCAACAACCTCCGCCACCCGTCCCCAGCTTGTTAGGACACTCTCACCCGCCACCTGCCCCTTCGCAAAGTCAGTCCCTGGGACAGATACCAGCACCGCCGTCGTGGCAACATGGAAACGAGGAGTCAATGCGAGTATGGCTCATGGCCAAGGCTGAGGAAGAGAAGCGGAAGCAGGAAGAGGAGAAAACACGGCAGGAAAGCTTCCGTCTGGAACAGCGCAAAACGGAGTTCAACATCTTGAGAGAGTCACTTCAAGGTGGAGTCCCACCGGCAATGGTACCAGTGGTCTTCGCGGGCATGAGCGGGGGAGCCCTTCCGCAGGCTGCTCTGGACTGGGCACAGCAGTACATCTACTCACAGTCTCACCAACCCCATCCACAGGCTTTGCTACCTCCGGGGCCTATCTCACCCCAACATCAAAGGCGAGAATCTCAACCCCACAGCTACGCGCACTATCCAGGCTCGGGAGGGGTTCCCTCAACTCCAGGCTCTGCCCAGGGACATGGAGGCGGGTACATGTCTGGCTATCCGGGCTCTCCACAGACTCGTCCGAGAGGGCAAAGTGTTCCTGGGCCCATGGCAGGCCGGCTCCATGGAGGAATGGCCAATCTTCCAAACCTCAACACCAACATTTCTGGGGGGCATGGAGGTTCAGCAGCCGCTCACCCGGCGATTGCCCAATCCCAGCAGCAGCAGGAGCCTCAGCAATCACCTTCTATACTTTTCCATCATTGGACACCACCGACGAGCCAGGCAGGAGGACGGAGCGGGGCTGACCAGCCTGCAACACCTTCAGGTTTGTCCCAGTCCAAGTCTCGCTCTCGAAACACTGGCGGACTAACCGGTGCGTCCACACAGTAGGAGAGTCGCCGAGGAAGAGGAAAGCCACGGGCCCACAGACGGCCGCACCGCCACCGAGTAGCGCACAACGGTTTCGGTCCCCGACTTTTTCACATAGTGGTGCTCCGTTGTCGAACCCACCGGCTGGGCGTAAGAGAGGCCATTCTCGCCAGCGGAGTGACCTAGGGTCATACCGTGGGGCGGTTCGAGGACGTGGAGATAGTTATGTGCCATCACCACAGGATGCACCCAAGGACAGCGGCGACCAGCATCAGCACCAACAACATTCACAGCACCATCAGCACCAACACGGACAGGGACATACGCAGTCCTCGCAGGTCCAACAGACAGCTCCGACAGTGACACGTAGCGCGCACTCGGTTTCGTCACTGTTGTCGGATCATCCACAATCACCTCGGCCAGGGCAGTTCTCAGAAGGAAGCCGATCCTCCGAGGAGAAGGTGCGCGGTGGTGCAGTCGGTGGATCGTCGGCCACGCGAGACAGAGACAATGACTGAACCTTAATTTCTTCCATGTTTCAGCCTCCAAATCCCAGGCCCAAGGTGCTGCGGTGACAATGAAGGGCTGCCCCAACAACAACCAGTCATCGAGCAAGGCGTCTTGGCGGACGTGCACCCTTGCGATATCCGGACCCCACGGAACGGACAAGCTAGGATTGGGATCAAACCGTGCCTTGATTAGGATAAGGCTGCTATCCCCCCCTGTGGCCTGGACTCCGACGGCCTCGCATCACAACTTTCACTTCTGTTTGACAAACTCGTTTTTCCCACAGCATTCTTGGTTAGGGCGTCGACACCGGCCTTTGTTCAATTCGATCTATAACCCGAAAGCAGAGCACGGGTTGACTCTCGAAGCTTCCCCTCTTGTTCCGCTCTGGGTGTTTTTCTCCCCTTCTTTTCGGATGCATTTCCCGAACTTGTATTACTTTTTTGAATTTGTGTTCGTTATTTCCGTTGCAGCTTTCTGCTCCATGTATACTATTTCTCTGGCATCTTTTTCGAGTCCTCATGCACTACAAAAACAAAATGGACTCTGGCAGGGAGAAGAAAAGGGGATATGAATGGAAGGGACTAGCATGGAGAATTTGAGGCTTACGACTCATCCTTCGGTATGCTTGCATCTTTGGGTGCGGGCAAGTGGGAGTGAAAAAAAAAAAAAAACGGTTATCGTCGGCCGAGAGCATCAAAAACATACGTACATAAAATGATGATGATTACCTACCATTCATGGCTCCAGTTCGCCGCAGTTGCACAGGACCTAAGATTGCTTACTTGCCTCACTCATCAAGCGAAGGTAGGATACAGGATAGGTACCGCGGCACAACACCTTTGCCTTTGCAAGTGCATGCATGTTGAGAGCTCAAAAGCGGCAAAAGCGAGAAAGAAAACGGGAGGGACCGAGGGAATAGGAAGCGAAGCTTGCCATGGTGGTGCTAGCGCGCTGACAACTTGATTTCGCTTGTGATATCATGACATCGCCGCACTCGTGTGTTTGGGGCCAGATGTTAGACTTTTAGAAAAAGTTGGAAGTTGGTGTTATGCAGGCCGATTTGGGAAAGGGAAGAAAAGCGCACTCGCACACAAGCGAACTCGAGGGTGGTATCATTGGGGAGATTGGATAGGCGGGATGACGGACTAGGAATTCCAGGGCAGTGGGAGTGTGAAAGGAAGAAGATTCGCTGGACCGAGATATGGGAGAACAACAATCTGGGTTCGGCTTGGAGCTAGGATCTGATCATCTTTGCTTCTGGCGCCGCCGCCCAGGCTGGCCAGGGTTGCTCACTACATAAACTAACCAAGACTAACAGGGGGGCCCGCTGCAACCAAGGCACACCAGAACCATGTTCCTCTCCACACCGGACGGTCCTGCAATTCCCGTCGAGATGGAGTGAACTAAACGAGGCCGAACAAAGGGAAGCACTTGTGGGATCGGGAGGAAGAATAGGGGATAGCTCCGAAGTTCTGAAACCGACTACACGTTGCTTGTTGCTTACAGGGCCCTTTGTTTTTTGCACGTGCGGATGGGGATGAGGAAACCGATATTTTAATGAGTTTCCAGGATAACTCGTAAGATGTGGAAGTGGAATT